GCTGGAAGCTTTTGTCCATATTAGGAATTTCCTCATACGACTTTCTGCGCGAGAGCGCCCTCCGGCTTCGAGTTTGAAGGAAACATACACTGCACGGAGTGTTTAGCGCTCAGTGGTGTTCATCTCGCTTTATTCTGGGTCCGAATAAAACATCAGATCATGCACAGACTATCCTGTCTCTTTGAATTGAAATCTATATTTATTCACACAGGCTCTTGAAAACCTCTATGCGAACACACTTGCCCCGAAAAAGTGCGGGGGACGAATTTACATGATATTAAAAGTGGTGGGGTGACACGTCCCCCGCGTCCCCCGCGTAATCTACGCCCCTGTGTGTGTGTGTGTGTGTGTGTGTGTGAGTGTGTGAGAAACATCTTTTTGTACGTTTTATTCAAACACTGATTCTGAAAGGCCTTGTCCTAATCCTAAAGCGCCAATCAACCTCTAAAAAGCACATGTACTGCTTCACAGGAGACCTCAGACAGATAAAGGATAATTCTGTGAGTGTGAAAAACAGCGGACAAAAAGCAAATCTCCAAGTAACCCTTGGAAAGTCATGGTGTACAATTCATAACACCACCCCGGTGTCTCCCATACATGCGTACAAAGCAACAGCATGTAGTGAACGTGTGAACCACATGCTGTGGCAGGGACTTGATCCCATGACCACTTACTCCTGTAACAAATGCAAACAGCACATGGCCTAGTATTTATTCAAACAATAAGCTTCACTCGATATCGATACGTACCCTGGAAGGAAGAGGCATGGCCCAGGATGAGATATTTGAGTTCAAAGCTATAGGAGAGAATGTTCTGGAGTGTGTCTCTCTGGGCAGCAGCGTAGTAGCTCTCCTCCATCTTGCGGGTGCAGCATGTGGGACCCTGGTGTTTGCAGATGAGAAGATCTGCATCTATGGAGGATTGATCATAGAAGGTGATTCAATTCTAGGGGCATTTTTGACTACTTGAAACCTTAACTGTCTGTCTTTAATCACGTCTCGCAATAAAGTTCTGATAATGGATTTCATTGGAACAATTTTTTTGGTTTGCTTTTTGTTATGTTACCTTTTCCATTTTTGGCATTTCAGGTATGGTTTTGCATTTTGTAATTGTTCAAATATAGCTGAAATTTTGCTGTTTAATGGCAGGTACCATTCAGACAACCATCAAGTGGATTTGGTGTGGATTTTGGATATTATATGTGGCATATATATATATATATATATATATATTGGTGTGTATTTTGGATTTTATATGTGGCATATATATATATATATATATATATATATATATATAAACTATACACATAACTACGAAAAATGATGTGAAAATCTTTTAAGTTTTATTTTTTTAAGTTACAAAGAGAAGGCACAATGTACAATTTCCCTGATTTTAATCGTTTTTAAAACTTTACTAAAAAGAAAAAGCTCAAATCTATAGATGAACCTAGTGACCTTTCAACACACTTAAAAATTAAGGGGAAAAAACAAAGTGACTCGACAAAAACATTACAGCTACTATATTAAGTTCTTTAAAATAATCATAAGCATTTTGTCTTTGAAATAATCATATGGGTCCAAAATAACAGTGGTTGCAACTTGCATGGCAAGAAGGTGCATGTATAGAGAGCACAGCACATGTGATAAAGACGATATCTGCTCTGTCAGTCACCCTGCCCTATCCTATGTGACCAATTTTACACAGATGGGACCCCATAAGCCATGTATTAGAACAGCTGACTGTGATCACCAGCATTCTGCTGACCTCTCTCACCTCTCAATATGCATGGAGCGATGCCTCGAAACTTGCGTACTAAGAATAAAACTTGTATCCTTGTAAACATAAACAAGAACTTGAGACAAACCGAATTATGCTCAGCTTACAATTTCATAGCAACTCCCAAACATTTTTGAGATGACTTCTATTCAGGAATGCGTTTTTTATTTAACAAGAAATGTGGAACATGAAAAACATTTGACAGCCTATACTACAGTCATGTTCATTTTGTCAACACCACTGACATTTCTGATTTATGCCCTGTCATCAAAATGACTTATTTGACTTTTTTGGTCACACTTTACATTACAGTTGACATAGTACAACATATGCCTAATGTATGTAAACGTTTACAGTGATACTAAATTGATATGCAAATATTTTCTGGATCACTTTTGTTGAACTTCACATGTCACTCACTGCCTGACAGGCTGTAACTCATATAACCTATTTTAAACAAAATGTTCCAATTATTTTATAAGCATTATGGGCCTATGCATGCAGTTATGATGACCTAAAAACTAATTTGCTACATGACAGAACCAATTGAATTAAATGGAAAAGGTGGTTAAAACGGCCAAAAAAGGTTAGTCACATTACCCTATCTTGAAAAACACATTTATATTTTGACGAAAAGGTCACGTGCATTTTTCAAAAACGTCAGTTTGTGTCAACGCGTGCATTTACATTTATTCTTAATTGCAATGTAACGTTTTGCTATTTTTGTATAGTCTCTTCATGTACTTGTTTTGCATTTCCGTAATAATTAAACGGCTTAAATTTAGTTAGCTGTTTAATGTCTAACTTTACGACAGCTTAAACTATTGTGACAACATACTACGTACGCTACGTACTTTTTTCTCTTAGGCAATAATTGTGTAGAGTGAATTAATAAAGAAACAAATAACCTCTGAATAAAAAGACCGTTGTAAATAGTATGGAGAATATGAATGGTCAGCTATCATACACTGCTTCTCACAGTAACCCCCAGTATTTATAAACGAACCTGTTGCTGCGGTCTCCGGAACCAATCTTAATGAACCGACTTGGCGCAGCTGGAAAGCGGTTTTAACCTCATGACAGCTCTGAGCGCTGGCGCAGTGAACTCTCCATATCAACACACTGGAGAGCAGGATCCACAACCAACATACACGCGGTGCTGTCCTGCGGAGCATTGCACCATCTCAGTCCACAGAAAGCCCTCTGAGCCAAAGTATGAGAAAGAGAAAAGCCCCAAAGACAAGTCAAAAGTATTATCCGGAAAAGATGCACATTTAAAGCATCCTAATTAAATATCTAGAGAGAACGTTTTCCAGGCTCTTGGATCGCAGGGGCTTCACATGTTGCGTGATTTGACAGACCTCTCCCTCTCCCTCTCCCTCTCCCTCCCTCTCTCCCTCACCCTCTCTCTCTCTCCCTGTCCCCCTCTCTCT